AACGAAATCAAATTTTCTCATTTCCTTGATGGTGATGTAATCGAAAAGTTCTTAGTAATTCTTGATTTTTACAGTCACACATTATTGGATTTCCAGCTACTATAAAATGTCTAGCTTTGTTCAAAAACATGGCTCTGAGTGTTTCCAAGTCCAAGCGTGATATTCGCATATAGGATGGAAATTCGATTGCCACTAATATCAACCCACTGTCAAATTTAAAGAAGTTTATTAATTCATTACGATTATAAGAAGTTATGCACACAGCGTATTTTTATACACGCCGTAGAGCTGTGAGCATAAATAGTATAATATCACTGCCGTATAGGGTCAAAAAGCAGATTGTTGCATATGTGTCGATACAAACGCGCGTGAAACGCAATACAGACGCGCCCGAGAAGCGCGTTCGAAGCTTGTCTCTATCGAACATCGCGTTGCAAGCAAGAAGCTTTTGTATACTTCATTGGAGTTTACACTTAGAATTTCACATTGAAGACAATTTTTATTGTGATTTAATATCCTTTTCACACTTCGTGTCTAGTGCAATGCGTGCAAAATAAACCCTCAAAACCGAATAGTAATAATTTCGTACAGTTACTAAGTGATATCTCTTAAATCTGTTTTAGTATATGTTTAAAAAGACGCAGTGGGCGTGCTTTCATATTTGTTTTAGTTATTTTATTAAAAAAACTAACTAAAAGTAAGAAAAAAATCGAATAATAAAATTATTCCTTACAGGGCGTCTGCGGTGCGTTTACGCGCAGATGACGCGCTTTTATGGGGTCACTGAATTTGTGAGAGTGTGCAAAAGTTTACTCTCTGAGACCAGTGTGTTTGAATCACATTAACATGGGTCATATGCGTGTTACATACGGCTCTAACCGTCTTATGATTGTAGTATTACATAGAAGTAATAATCCTAAATATTAGGACTGGAATACCATATAATGCACAAACGATATAAGGTTGTCCTCATGAAAAACTACGGCTTCCAGTCATGGGAACGAAATTCTATTAGACAGTAAAACAATTCGAATATATGTTACAAAATACTTACAACTAATTTGTCACTGAATAAACTGGCGTTGAAAGATTCAATACAATTAGAAGCAGCATTAAGATGGCTTAAGTCTTCCACCATAGGTATGGTATGAGTCGAACCAGAAGAACAATTAACAGTTGTAGATTTTGCATCTCGACGGCATACGCAATCGTTACAATCAAATTTGGTACAATCAATCGGTCCCATTCTTGATATATCACTTGATATTCGTTTGAGCATGGTTTTTTCCTGTACTTTCAGGTTTGAGATATCTTTGAACGCTTTTTGTAACCACGAATATTGGCAATCGCATTGCAGCTTTGTCAGATTGGCTAAAACTGTCGCTTTTGTTTTGTTGCACTCTGTCCGTTATAAATTGAAATAGTTTTGTTTATTGAATTATAGGTAAAATCTTATCGTTATCATGGAAAAATATATCATTAAGTCAAATCTACTTCTGAATATATGTATTAAACAAACCTAAACTTACAAATCTTGATTTCATTGTATTCATGTTTGCCAAAGAATTTGATTTCAGTTATGTCATTTCTCCGTAGATCCATGGTGAAATTTGATGCAGTAAATGCTGGTAAATCCTGTAACTATTCATAACAAATGTTGATGTCAAGGGAAGTTATTTATAGTATAACGATGTATCAGTCTTTGATTCGTTTGTATTGCATATATAAATTTAATAATGTTTAATATAGCTTTCTTATGTAGAAAACATTAGACCAATCACTATAGGAAAAGCTTATAGTAACAAAGAACTTACCGATACTATGGAGACCATACTAAAGCTAATGTTAAAAATACCTAAATTCTCCATCTTCGTGAGGCTAAAACATAACCTTGAAGTGCCCGTGAAAGTGTCGATATTATACTGAGATTTGGAAACACCACCCATTCTTGGTATTTTCGTTTGCTAGCTGTAAAAGAAAAAAAATGCGTTTTAAGTTGTATGATGGTAATGCTACGAACAAAAATAGATATAGGAAATGAAACCGTTTTTATTTCAGATCTAAATCGCGTATATCTGTTTTTTGAAACAACCAACATTTCGAGCCATTTACAGGTCCCATGGTCACGGTTGACTGTCCATGGAACCTGTAAAGAGTCGTTAATCAGTTTGTTTGAGATTTAGATCTAAGTTTCACTTTTTATGTGTAAAAATCACGAAAACCTACGAACTCGATAAAAATAGATGTGAATTCAATACCATTCAAACGCTACAGACATACAATGTCGGTAAGATTAAGCAAGCAAAGAGTACAATGTACGTAACGAGTACAGAATATCAGCTCATATCACCCCTGGTGACGAACGCGGAAAGTATTTTTCCCTATACATACACATATTTGTGGCTCATCTCACACTGGCGCAGAGTCGAAGCGTCGCGACGCGTCATGTTTTTCGCTTGTAGCATATTTATCTCTATTTTCATTTTATTAAGATACAAATTTGTGTTATGCAAATATGGAATCCCGTATGGCTTATGGCCGACGCGCGACGACGCGCGTAGTTGAAAAACAGGACGCAACACGACGCTTCGACTCTGCACCAGTGTGAGTTAAGCCTATATGTTCTTTCTTTTTAAGTGGTTACACACGGTGACGTTTAGCAGCGACAAACGTTCGTGCGTTTGTGAAACGCGTGAATGCATCGCTACTCTTGCGATTTATAGGTGATTGCATCGGTGCAAACGCGCGACTGCATCGACACAAACGCGTAACAACTCTTTACTGGGTTCCTGGGTAGACGATTTTTTTAAACATGGTTTGAAATAAATCGCTGCCTTTGCAAAATATATTTCGAGTTCTGAAAAATTACATAAAAGTTTTATGGCCAATGAAAAGTAGATGCCAGCGCCATCTATTGATTAACGACGTCCACAGTCACGGATATGCAAAGCAAAAATATTCACAGTGACAAGACCGTGAAGGCAAGTGAGAAATCGCTGGACTAAAGACATATATTAATTAATGAATAAAGACTTACACTGATCAATTAATTGATATGGTTTGCAGATATCAAAAGCAGGATTATGATCCAAAATCATGACGCGCAGACGAGGCATGAATGTGGCTTCGGACATAATAGATGCTCCGTTTCTCAGTTCGTTGTAAGACAGATCGATAAACTCTAAATTTTCGAATACATTCGATTTCTTTAGCGCTGACACACTACAATCAACAAAACAACAAAAGTTATAAATGCAAATAACAATTACAAATTACACTGAAGCACAACAACAACAAAATCAACTTTTTATTATTGTTAGTTTAGTAACTATAATGGTAAATAAAACTATAACGAAATCGAGCAATCCCGAAATTTAGGTGTGAAGTTAGGCGTTTTCCTAAGATACGTGTACTTTTTTATATTTTTAGTGTGTTCTTTATCATAACGGGTTAAATACAGGGAGGGTTGTGTTTTTTTCTATCATTTTATTTTATTATTTTTCATATACTCCGTAATCTGTAATCATCTGTGGCTGTGTCATAGACCCGATTCACTTGTTTGTTTTATTGTTAATTTGATTTTTTTTTTTGTACCTACATAGTTCTGATTATGATTTTTTGAAACTAATTCAAATACTGTACTTAGTACTGTAGCTGTAAAGGTATCTAACTGGGTGATGAAATACTTAAGATTTCTCATAAATGGCGGCTAAAAAGTCGTTGAAAAAACCAAATACAAAGACACGACAACAAATACACAGAAAAATTCGTGAGTTCCGCTGGTTCGTTCCGTGGCTTAGTTGGTATTGCATCTGGCACGGTATGCTAGGAGATGTCGTTTCAAATCCGCCCAGATCGAAGGAATTTTTTCTGAGTTTTCGATCTTTGTATTAATAATTATAACAAACTACTTAGTGGAGCAATTTCACATAAAAAACAATTGAATATCAATTCAATAAAAAATTTGATACAAATACTCATAAATACTATCAAATAAGATAACAAACTTACAAAGTCACAAAACGGTTTTAGTTATGGCTATATATATATATGGTTATGTTATAAGATCCAATCACGTCAACCCTTGAGTAAAATTAAGAAAATTGTGAGGCAAATCACATAAACTGCAATTTCGCAGCGTGAGCTCCTTAACAGTAATTCCCGACGGTAAGAGCATAATTTTGTCTTTGTTCATCGGCGTATCTCGCATATCCAGTTTAGTTAAATCAGTAATTTCTCTAAAGATGTCGATGAAGGCTTCCCAATCTGAAAATTGTTCTAAATCCGTACCTACTAATGACGCGTATCTCTTGCATTTCGTTACACCTCGTCAAAGTAACTAGTTTTCCAATTACAGCAATTTTTTTGATTGAGTGAAATGAAGGACTTAGAACAAGAACGCTATTTGTTAACATACCATAAAAAACAAACAATTAATAGGTGCTTGTTGTGCAAGGCTGCAAAGTTGTTGTTTGAAGCGAGTACTTGTATTGAAACTTGAGCAAGCGAAGGATGTTTAGATTGAATGAAAGAGCCATGAGACGCAAAACAACTTTCCTGCGCAGGTTTCTAATGACAAAGAAAACCTTTCATGAAAATAAATTTGCATGTTGTCATGAATAAATAAACAATGCCACGCTACCTTTAATCACAAACAAGTGAACCTTTATTGGTGTTACAGATGAATGTAAGACAGAAAATTTCCACTTGAA